TTGGGGTTGGGTTTAAAACGCTTTTTAAGTTGTTTTCCACACGATAGGTTAGGGGGGTGGGGGGCCCCAGGGAACGACAACTTAAACACCCTGTGTACAACACCGAAATTCCACCAATTCATCTTATGAAATTCAGAGACGCCCAATTAGTATAAAAGAAACTAATTTCCGCACACGCAAGTGCCTTGAACAGCACTGATCCTGTTTTGAATACAATTAAACAAAACAACGGCAGCTTCACCATCTCCGAAGTCTTAGCAAGAATCCTCCTGAAAACAGTAAACCCTGCCATCACATAGTCTCTCCTGTTATACTACACAAAGCACAGAGAGTGAACACTGAAACAACCTGCCTCATTCCAGTTTATATTTGTCCAACCTATTTTTATGTTACCCAAGTAATAGCTTCTATATCCTTTTACTCATGTACGAATTAATTGCTCTACCATATTGTATTACTTTTGTCACTACCACTACTACTACACTACTACTACTACCACTAGTGAACATCGAAATGGTACCTCACTAGTATTCACCTCACTCTGAGCCTTTATATACCCTCTGTGTCCATGTATTGTTTGTAATGGCTTGATAAAGCTCCTGGAGAGCGAAACGTTGCCACAATAAATGTCACATTAGTTGCACTTGTGTCCTTTTACTTTACATATTGTCGGTAATTCTACCAACTTTATTACATAGCCTAATCTAGTTAAATATATTTTAGATAAGTTTACAATAATTTAATAATAAACAAACACAATGAAATATATATATTTTCGTTAGGTTCAGAATGATTTTTGCAAAATTAATGCATACACAAATTTTCGCTTGCCTTATTCGGCAAGAAGAGTATTACCATTTAGGCAAAATCTCGGTTTTACCTATTTGTCACGACATAAAACAATAACCAAATTTCTGTAAACTCAGCATTGTAATCCTTATAGAGAATAAACTTTGAATTTGAATTGAATTTACCAAATTTGTAACATCCTGAAGGGCCATAAAATTTTAAATTTAACAATAAACAGACATTTTTTATTAGGGAAATTGTTGTTATTAAAAATTACTTTAAAAATTTCTTTACTTTAATTGTTTTATTAACCTAAAATTGTTTTTAAAAATTAAGGACAAAATGAAACGCTAAATATTTAAATTAGCCAAAAATGTGCTGCCACTATATCATCTTTAAAATCCATAAAATTAAAAATATAACAATAAACAGACTATCTTTTATTATGAAATTATTTTTATCAAAGTAACTTTAATTAATGCATTTTTTACCTAATTATTTAATAAGAATGAAACAAAAAAACACTAAATATTTTTTTTTAAAAATGTGCTGCCACTGACGAGTAAACAAAAAAGTATTTAAAGGGAAGTTTTCAACCCCCTTTCAGAAAAATTGTCTTATTTAAGGGGAGTCTTGGCGCAGGCTACTTAAAACATGGATCAGCAAGAAAATTTAGGAAAATATCTTAACCCTGAGCACTAATAAGGCAGAGAGAATAGCAAAGAAAGATGGAAAAAAGGTGAGAAATAACATGGAGGTCCCCAGGGTTGTAAGTCACACTATAATAATAATAATGTTTGTACAAGCACATGATACAACTTATACACACCATTGCTGACACAATGGCATGTGCAAAGCCCTTTTTTAAATGCTTTTTTGGGCAAATTTGGTTAATTTTGTTCCCAGGATGCGACCCGGTGGCCTGGTGGCTAAAGCTCCCGCTTCACACACGGAGGGCCCGGGTTCGATTCCGGCGGGTGGAAACATTCACACGTTTCCTTACCCTGTTGTCCTGTTCCCCTAGCAGCAAATAGGTACCTGGGTGTTAGTCGACTGTGTGGGTCGCATCCTGGGGACAAGTTTAAGGACCCCAATGGAAAATAATTTTAAACAGTCCTCGATGACGCACTGACTTTCTTGGGGGTATCATGGGTGGCTAACCCCCCGGGGGTTAAAATCCGAACGAATTCTTATCTCTTATCTTATTTTCTGACTAATGTTGGAACTTATTTCGTCTGAGAAGTCCCAACGGGAAAAACACACCATTCGGGGGCCCTTAAACCCACCCAAAACAAAACACGCTTCCCCCCCTTTGGGGAAATAGGAATTTTCTGAGGTGCAAACAGTCACTAATAATGATTGAATATTGCTCCCGTTGCACGTGTTTTCTGGGGGGAAGTCCCAAGGGGCTGAGCTTAGGAGGTTGATGACCAGAATAGCTTCTACTTTCACCAAGTAAGTTAGTCCTTTAAACGTGCATGCGGGCGACATTCTTGCAACATCAATCATTTATGAAAATCTGTCCTATAAGCCACTTGTGAGGCTGAGGTACCGACCTCAGAGCTCGGTGTCAACAGAGCTTGCCAGGATAGGCACCACTTGGAGGCAGTCCAGACAAATTTTCACAACTTACACCCAGGCACCTATTTTACTGCTAGGTAACAGGGAGAGCAATGTCCTAAGGAAACCCCACCCTGAGGTTTCCACCTTACCGGGGATCGAACCATGGACCTTAATGTGTGTGGGCTGAGCGCACTACCAATTTGAGCTACAGGACACATTATATCACATTATTTGGCAAATGCACCAACGGGTTTTAGCACTTCCCCATGAATATAATAATTGGTTTATCCGGGGTTCCCCTCAAGGGGGGTTCCTTGATGCAGATGAGGGGCTCTTGATCTGGGGAATTGGCTCGTGCTCCAGTTTCCTGAACTGAGCCTGAATACCTTCCACATCTTCCCCCCCCCCCACACACACACACAGGTGCTGTAAATCCTAATGGATTAGTGCTTCCCCCTTGATTAATAATTTAAATTTTCCTGGTTAAAATTTGCATGGTGTACTGCATATGTATTGCCAAAAATGACTATGTGCTCTTAAAACCGATTGTTTTTACTATTGGATTATCCAAGGACCCCAATGGAAATAAGTCACTTTAAAATTTTCTGAGTCATCCTAGGTAATTACACATATGTATGTATGATAATTGTACTTGTGTGTACCTGTGCCTTAATTTAATTTTTTTTACCAAAAACATTAACCCAACTGTTGAGTGAGCATACCATAGGCACTTATTCTACTACTGCTTGAGGAATTGGCAATATTTACATTATGTACACAAAAAAAGCATTTCTTTGCAAATCAAATTGTATTTTGGAGAAAGATTTGCTGAATAGTACATTTATGTAGGTTGTGGGAACATGTCTGAGCAAATTAATCTAGTATTTTTGAGACATGCACCTGGCTGAATTTTGAATAAGACACACACACCTACTGATTTTTGGGACATAAGATTAGGTTAACTAGTTTGGTTTTTCAAGTTGGATAGGTGGGTTTCAAATTTGTTAGGTTTCATTTTTTTTCCATTTACACAAAAAATATCTCAAATGTAAAACCAAAATTAATAGTGTGCTTTTCAAACTACAGCCTCTCCCACTTGCAACGTACTCGTTTACTGACAACTCAGACTTACGATGGGCTCTCTGACCAGTTTGCATGTCTAAATAATGTATGTTAGAACTAAATGGTGCAAAGATGACATTAAAACAATATCAATGCTGGTTGACAAAAACGCACTACCATGATAGTATGCTCCTCAATTAGCAACATATTCGTTTAGCTATGTGGTCTTAGGAATGGAACTCTGTTGTTAAGTGAGGAGAGGCTGTATATGCCAAAATCCACTGACTAGTAGTTGTAAATTATTACCAAAATTTTTGGAACATTTTCTACCCAAAAGCTAAATGCTGTAAAAACTTGGAGATTTGTTTGTAGAGCCATTTTCAGATTATTGTAAATATAAATTTACAAGTCACGGGCCTGAGGCTGTCCCCACTGTCACCCATGCAGTAATTGGCCAAACCTAAAAATGCTGAACCTGAATAATTGAGCAAAGAATATACAATATGTTCTTCATTATGATATTTTCTTAAATCTACTCATCCCAGTGAAGTGTTGACATATCTATCTGCCCGAGTCTTTGGTGGTTTAATCTTTAAATTCTTAGCTGCTAGTTCTTCCTTATTTAGAGACAAGGGTTTTGCCTGAATATCCTCCGGGGTCTGCCATAGTGCCAGATCTGAATAAGTGATAAAAAATGAAGCTGTTGATGTACATAAAGTACAAACAAAAAATGTCATGATTCTTTGTACAGTATTACCATAAATGTATGTAGTTAAAAGTACTGAAAAGTTAGATAATACAGAATTATGAATGGATCAATGATATACATGTATGTAGTTGAGTATAAGTCTGTCTTGCACATAGTGGACAGAGGATCGAGCCTCCAACAATAGTGTCATTACAGTAAACATAACACAATTACTGTATATTCATTCTAATTTATGACACGAATTGTACATCACCTTGAAAACAGATTGGTTGCAGCATTTATGTACACATATCAGTACATATCAAATTTACACTCCAGTTGACTATCCCTGTGAGTAAAATATTTTGCTGTTTATCTTGGTGGGTGGGTGATTGAGTAATTCAGTCTCATTCATTTTCTTTCTTTTCATTTTTTTACATTATCTTGTTTATTTAATGTGTTATATATTTGCCTTTATGTGCCATATATTTTTTAGATGCCTGAAATTGAAGACTTCCAGTTCTTGAAGCCAATCAGCCGTGGAGCCTTTGGGTAAGTTCTTATTGCATAGTAGTACAGTGGACCCCCGGTTTACGATATTTTTTCATTCCAGAAGTATGTTCAGGTGCCAGTACTGACCGAATTTGTTCCCATAAGGAATATTGTGAATTAGATTAGTCCATTTCAGACCCCCAAACATACACGTACAAACGCACTTACTTAAATACACGTACATAATTGGTCGCATTGGGAGGTGATCGTAAAGCGGGGGTCCACTGTATTTTTTGTCTCATACCTGATAAAGAATTCTTATGTGCTTTTTTCAGTTTTATTGATTTGTATTTTGAAAGGTATTTGAGTATATTTAGTACAGTTATGATGTATTTAAGACATGATGTGTATTCTTTTCTTTTTAAACACTGTATAAAGGGTAGCTACACTAAAATTTCACCTATCTAAAAGTAGGAATGTAATTACATACAGTATTTTGAAATTACTTCTTATACTGTGCTACATAATCATTGTCATCTTATTCATATGCTTTAATGTTAACAGAAAAGTGTTTCTGGGATGCAAGAAGGACAATTTGACTCGGCTATATGCTATCAAAGTAGTTAAGAAATCAGATATTGTTCACAAGAACATGATTGAGCAGGGTATGTATATTTTGTTTGTAAGATATAGAGGTATATAATAATGAATGAGGGAATATTATAATGGTATACAATACCGACAAGTTGGTAGGTAAGATACATGGGCAACTGTTGCCCACGTGTCTTACCTACCAATGAATGAGGCATTTGGGTATCTTTGTCATAGAAACGTTTTGCCAGCCAGTGGCTTCATCAGTCCAATACAGAGAAGACTGGTGGAAGATGAGAAGGGGTTTGAGGTAATTAGTCCCTCATCCTGGACATGAGGGACTGATCACCTCAGATTCCTTATCTTCTACTGTTCTCTACATTAGTTGATGAAGCCACTAGTGCATAACTTTTCACAAAAAAAATTTTTGCAAGTTGCACAAATGTTTCATTCATTAACTTTCAGCTTTTCAAACCATTTACTAAAGTACTGAAAAAATTTTGGGAAAAAAAGTTGTAGAAGAGTAAAAATCTTTTGCAGTTGTCTGAGGCCGGGAATCAGGGTTTTTCCCTGATCGGGTCGATCACAGGGGTTTGTGGCTTCGAGCCAGTAAAATTCCCTTGGCGGGTTAGCATCCCCTTCATGAACTTGTCTATTTCCCCCTCTTAAAAATTTCTGCCATTTTTCCAGCAAGACTTTTTTTAATACTGTATTTACCGGAGGGGGTTGAAGAAACTTTCCTGGGATATTGAAGTTCTTTAATTGCGTTTTCCCAAAATTGTTTTTTTAACACCCCTCCCTTATATCTTCTCATTACCTCTACTCCTTTTTGTTACTTCAGTTTTTAGCTTTAATTTTATATTCAAATATTTTTCATGCACGTATAGATTGTAATAATTATTGTCTCCTTACAGAAAGTTTAACCCAATTGCTCTCAATCTCTTCAGTAATTTTGACATTTTTCATTCATTGATTAGTAAAAAATCTCTCATTTCTTTATGTGTTGATCATTTTTTGCAGTTTTGAAAAAAATCATTCTTAGTGCAAAATGTCCTTTTAGAAATGGTACAAAACTTCTTAAAAAGGACTAATGTTTAAAAATTGCTACAAAAAGATGTTCAAAATTTTATGGGTATTATTACTCTAATTTGCAATTAAACAATTTTACATGTTTCAAGATTTAAAAAAATAGTTTGATATTTTGTTTTGAAAAAAAAAAAAAAAAAAAAAAAAAAATCTAGTAGTTGTAGGATATCAGTAACCTTATTTTGATATGGTAAAAAAAAAGTTAACAAAAGATGGATAAATATTTTGATATCAGAAAAAGTGTTGTTTAAAAAAAATTAAAACAGCCTTAAAAAAAAATACAATTTTCTTCTTTTTCGACACACCAGCTGTATCCCAGAGTGACCAAAAGAAAACAAAATTTTCCCTTTTTTTTAACTTAGAAAATGTAAACAGGAGAAGGGAACTACCCTTTTTCCCTGGATTTTAGCTGCCTTTATGGGGAAAGAATTCTTTTCCATTTCCCCCATGGGATAAGAGGAAATAAAAAGATCAACTAACAAGATAATAGAAAAAACCCAGGGATTTTAAATTAATATTTTTCTTTAAACACACCCGGCCGTTTCCCCCGGGAAAAGGGTGGCCCAAAGGAAAAAAAAAGTTTTTTCCCTTTTTACATTTTAAAATAAAATAAAAGGAGAAGGGGTTACACCCCTTTTGCCCCGGGCATTTTAGTCGCCTCTTAAAACCCCAGGGTTACGGGGGAAGAATTCTGTTCCATTTCCCCATTTAGTAATAGAAATAAACAAAACAAGAACTTAAAAGAAAATAGAAAAAACCCAAGAGGTGTGTAATATATGTTTTGTACTTGTATGTGTAGTGTGACCAAAGGTAAGTAAGTAGAAAGATGCACCTGAAATTTTGCAGTTTAAAGACAAAAAAAGACCCCAGAAATCCCCCTAAGAAAAAAGGCTTCTTTGTACACTCGCTTGACTGGGGGTAGTACCTCCCGGGGCACTGCGTCTACCAAACCTTTTTCCTACACAATTTACTTATGGGGGAAAAATTTTTTGTAAGTTTTTTTTAATTTAATATTTTAAAATTTTCCTATCGGATTCTTTTAATATGTATTACAAAGGGGTTTTTGCTGCTGATGTTTTCTACGGCAATATTTACTTCAGATTTTTAACACTGGGTAAGGTATTAAGCAGTCACTAAAAAGCAAAAATTTCAGGCCGGGTGGGAAAATATGTGTTGATAAACCCTTGATTTAATGCACAATACGGGGGTGGGTGGCGGGGTAATGGGGACTGTAAGAAAAAATGATTTTTTCCATGATCACAACAAAATAGGCAATTCAGTAACCAAGGAGTCTGTCAGTCTTTCTAATTATATAATGAGGGGTTTTTGTCCCTATTTCCAAAGTTCACAAAATCAAACCCTTTAAAATTTTGGGTTTTTACTACTTTTAAAATCATTTACACTTGCAAAAAATCATGAAAAATTTTTTATTTAAAATGCTGGCTATTTAACTTGGCATAATAGTGTTTCTTTTGTGTTAGTATTATGTTTGCTGCTTTTATTATTTTTGATTTTCCCTTTTTTTTTTGCGGGAATATTTTTTTATCCTGTAGTGCAGAGTTACCTATACTGTGAAAGTACCCCACAAATTCTCATACTAAAAATGACTAGTGTTGTGATAGAAACACGGGCCCTTTACTCTAGGCTTTATTGAACATAGAACTTCATAGTACTTCTGCAAAAACAAAATATAATGACTGACACTAAAAAGGGCCCTTCTACAGGGATGGGATGTCTTCATATGTCAAGAAAAAAGTTTAACACGGCCACAATTTAAATCCCCATGTAATCTGCATCGTGATAAATGGAAAAGTAGGAGAGAATCACACCCATTGGGGGCCCCATGACGCACCCAAACTGTTTTTGTTGTTAAAGGGCCCCCTAGAGGTGGGCAGTATTACCCTGCTGCTCTCCCCACAGCCCCAGTATCACTAAATTCCCCCTTCAAAAAATATCAGGACAGTAATTCCCAAACTTTTTGGGTGGGCGACGTAAGTCCCACCTTCTAGCCCTTGAGCCCTTCCCCGGGTTTCGATTTTTTCCACGGGGTTTGTTTAACTGCTGGAGCAAAATTTCCCTATTTCCATGGGGGTAGTCTAAAGGGCTTTCCGGAAAAACAAGCACTTTCACATCATTGGTGTATCTTAGATTCCCATAATAGGGATTTCAACTGGGGCTAAATGTTTTTTTAGATACTGTATCTCTTCCCATTTTGGTACGAATGGGGCGAAAAGGGGATTAGCTTCAGGAGCTCTCCCTCTTCCACTGGATCCTCTTTTTCTCCTACGGGACTCTTCAGGAGAACGGGTCCGGATGACATACCAATGGGCCGGAGGCCCCGTAGGGAAAAGCGGAATGTTGAGGATTTTTTTCTGGGGTTGCATTAGTGCTGTGCACAGCAGTGATCTAATGAGTAAAGAGAAAGGGAAGGCAGTTTGCCATTTTTGAAAGGTAGATTGCGCGCTTTAAATGTCTTGTAACTGCCTTCCATATAGTACCTTTGAACCGCCCCCTTTTGACCATTGCCTTGGGGGTTGTAGCTTGTTGTTCTGCTGCAGGCAATCCTTTGCTAGCCAAAAACTCCTGAAGTCGTTACTCTAAAACGAGGTCCCCTGTCTGAATGGAATAAGCGGGGCAAACCAAAAATAGAAAACAATTTTGGGAAAGACAACAAATAACATTAAAGGCCATATTTCAGGGGGAAATACAAAGGGAAACCCTTTAAAAATTCATCTACATGTTAAGGAAATACCTATTTGTTTTGTCGGGTGGCCCTTGAAATCTAATTCAATTTTTCGAAAGGTAGGTTTTTTTATGAGAGGTCTTTCTTGGCTGAAAAGTTTGGCTTCACTCTGCACATACCGCATGCCTGATCACTTGTCGCACATTTTCCCAGAGTAGGGCAGTTCTTTATTTGACAAAATGGAAGGCGGTAACTCCTGGGTTACAAAAAGCCTTGTGGAGCTGGAGTGTTTGAAAAACATGACATGCTGCCCAAGTGGGCCCTAGAGAAGCATCAGGTGAGAGTTTCTTGACCCGGTCGGACAAAATATAAAAGTCTAAACAATATTTTCCATCCTCCAGCGTAATATTGTCTTTCTTTATCCTACTTTTGTGTTTCTTGTCGAACATATACTTTCACGGACCGTTGGTCGTTTATGGTGAAATGTTACCAGTTAAATATGCCTCGTGGCAACTGCTTCTATGATGGCCTGGGCTTCCTTTTCACAGCAGATAAAATTTTTCGATCCTTGAAAAGTTCTCGAAAAGAAAGGGTACTGGTCGTCCTGCCTGAAGATAAGACTGCAGCAATGGAATGCAGATGCATTTCCCTTTCACTTCGAAAGGTAGGGACTCATCAATGGCTTGAATACTGATTTTTTAATGTCCCTTTGGGTAGGAAAAACGGCTTTTGCTTCCCTTTTTTCACAGGAAAAGTGTACACTCAAAGGGCGGACTTTTTCTTGATAGTGTAGATCCATTGTGAGTAATAACAAAGAGACCAAGAGTTCTTCGGATGACTTTTTTTCTTTGGCATTTGGAAAATTCCCGTAGAGGTCGTAGTGTTCAGGGGCGGGAATATTGAACCTCCCCACACATAACCAAAAGTGCTAAGCCCTTTTGTTTAAAAAAATGCCTTTTCCCCCATTTTAAAATGATATTTTTCTTCTTGGCGGCTTCCAAAAATTTATAAAGGGTTTTCTCTGTTTCCCCCTGGGGCTTGCCACAAATGGGAACATTACAAATAGGGAAGTTCCCATGAGTTTCTCTTCCGAATGAGTGAATCCTAATTCGTTGGAAGCAGGGTACCCCATTGGTGACTCCAAAAGGGACCCCGGAAACGATCAGGCCCCATGCCCGAAACGCTGTGTTTGGTTTATCTTTATTCCTTTTAGGGGGCTTTATGTAGGCACTCCCGTAGATCAATTGTGCTAACACTAGTACTGGCAATTTTGTTCATGTATCATCAAATTGAGGTAAGGGTACCCATCAAGAATTTAAATTGTTGATGTCTCAGAGTAATCGATGCCGTCTCCGTTTCCTATAACCTCTTTAAAAAAAACAACCGTGCACGCCAGGGGAATTTACTCGGTTTTTTTATAATACCTCCTTCAGAGCCCTGAGTTTCTTTCCCAATGAACATCCATCCCCCAAAGAATAGCGGCGTGACTTAGCTGATATAGGAGGCAATCCGGGAAGATTTGCAACCATTTGTGGGCCACCCTTAAAGTGCTAAGTCCCCAGACAACAAGAGGAGGCAGTTCACCTCCCTATGTTAAGGGACCTACCATGAGCTCTGAAAGTCCTGACCAAGGGTAACACAGAGCAAAATTTTGGGCAGAATAGCTAATGTCATCTTGAAATCCTTTCCATTTAACTCTGGATTTACCTTACAAAACCCTAAGGGGGCTGAAAGAGAGGATTTGTGCCATGAAACGGTACCTGATGAGGATGTAGAGTCAAAGGGGAAACCTTTAACTAAGTCAATTGATGAAAAATTTGAGCTGCCCTTACAATAAGACCATCTACTTTGTTCCCTTTTATGAAAACTTTCACACTGCCTTTTACAGTGAATTTGGAGTAGGCAGAAGCACTGTTGCAGAGTCGCATGTCATGAATGTGTGGGGCACTAGCTCTTGTTGTGCTTTTGCACGACATACTTTTGCAAAAATGACCTTTCTTGTGGCATTTTAGGCAATTGCTTCACGGCAGGACATTTTGGGCTGGTGTCTTGAAAAAAACCCCAAAAGAAACCAAACCTACCCGGTGCTGTCACTGAGGGGAGGTTTCCACAGAAATTCATTGCAAGAGCTTTGGGCAGGAATTGCAGCACTCCACTCGAAAAGGCTGAGTGGGGATGTAACTTCAGAATTCTTCTGGGTGAATCTAGAGCTCTTGCCCGGTCAAAGGCAGCGGCTAAGTCGAGAGTTTTTCTCCAATAAACGCTGCCTATTAATTTGGGGATTGCGGCCATGATAAAAGCAAAACCTGATGGGTCTTCACAAAATGAGCCTGTCACTGCTTGGAATGACAGTCCTTTCCTAAAATTTTCAGGCTTGAAAGTATTCCTCAAAAGGATTCATCAATTGCTGGCGGAGTTGCAAGGGGATAGGTGCAAAAATTTCATTTGAGGTTTTAAAATACGGGGCTTGAGGTTTTAAAATCTCTTCGTATATTACATAGAAATAGCCTCGTATATCTTAGGTGACACAAAATTGATGAGCAGACTTAGTTTTTTTCTAGATCTTTTTTAGGAAAAGGGTCCCAAAAGTTTTCGAAAGTCTTTAAAACCCGTGCTTCCATTCTGAGCAGCCGTTATAAGCTGGGGTCACAGTCTAGCCTCTCAGGGTTTTTGTAAACGCTCCATGTGGTGTAATCTAGCGCGGATACCACCAGGTAGCCCCCGGATTTTATGTTCAATAAAATTTTTGTGATAGAAACACAGGGCCCTTATCTCTAGGGTTTTTTGAACAAGAATCTTCAAGACTTCTGCAAAACAAAATATAATACTAGTACATCTAATAATGGCTTCTACAGGATGGGATGTCTTGCATATGCAAGAGAAAAGTTAAAACTAAGCCCCAAAATTTAAACTCACCATGTAATTGCATCACTGATAAATTATAAGGGAAAAATACAACCCTGTGTTGGGGCCCATGACATACACCAAACTGTTGTTGTTGTTGTTAAGGGCCCCAAGAGGTGGTGCAGTATTATCCTGCTGCTGCTCCCCACAGGACCAGTATCACTACAACTAGTACTACTCAAAATCTTGTACTACTGTATTCTTTTATTGTTTTAAATGAGTTTTTTCATCAGTGATTACAGAGAGAGATGCTTTGGCAAGAACAAAGAGCCCATATTGTGTTCACCTTTATTATTCTCTTCAGACAGCCTCCAATGTGTATCTGGTCAGTAGCTAAAGTGTTGGTATTGAAACATTAGCTTATTTCAGTAGCTCATTTAGTAGATTGGGAAATGGCTGATGTAAAAGAATTATTTTTTTTTTCAACAAGTTGGCCATCTCCCACCGAGGCAGAGTGACCGAAAAAAGAAAGAAAATCCCCAAAAGGAAAATACTTTCATCATCATTCAACACTTTCACCTCACTCACACATAATCACTGTTTTTGCATAGGTGCTCAGAATACAAGTTTAGAAGCATATACAGTAGACCCCCGCCTCCAATATTAATCCGTTCATGAGTGTGCATCGTGAGCCGAAATTATCGTAAGGCGAATTAATTTATCCCATAAGAAATAATGGAAATCAAATTAATCCGTGCAAGACACCCAAAAGTCTAAATAAAAAAAAAATTTACCACATGAAATTTTTTTTTTTTTTTTTTTAGCAAGCTGGCCGTCTCCCACCGAGGCAAGGTGACCCCAAAAGAAAGAAAATCCCCAAAAAGAAAATACTTTCATCATCATTCAACACTTTCACCACACTCACACATTATCACTGTTTTTGCAGAGGTGCTCAGAATACAACAGTTTAGAAGCATACACATATAAAGATACTCAACATATCCCTCCAAACTGCCAATATCCCAAACCCCTCCTTTAAAGTGCAGGCATTGTACTTCCCATTTCCAGGACTCAAGTCCGACTATAAGAAAATAACCGGTTTCCCTGAATCCCTTCACTAAATATTACCCTGCTCACACTCCAACAGATCGTCAGGTCCCAAGTGCCATTCGTCTCCATTCACTCCTATCTAACACGCTCATGCACGCTTGGTGGAATATAATGTAAGTATATAAATTCAAGACTTATGCAGCTTAAAATAAGGGTGGGATATGAAAAGAGGTTATAGTGTGTATTTATGCACCCAGGTAAGAGAGGAGTGTAGAGAAGAGGGGGGTATTTTGGGAGATGTTGAGTGTTTAGGGAGTTTTGAACCAAGTGAGAAAACTGTTATGAGATACCTTCATGCTTAAATGGGAGAAACTGTTGTGTAGGGTGTAGTAAGGAAGTTTGGGGTTCCAAGGGTAAATAATGATACAGGGCCTCTAAATGAGCTATGAATTGAAAGAGGTTGTATTTTAAGAATAAGGATAAATAAGTATGCAAGATACAATATAGGGCATGATGGCAACAATTTGTTGGACTGTGGATTAGTAGATAAAAGGTTGATGGGTTAACTTCTGGATGTGCATATTTTTAGAGGAGCAACAGTGATTTGATTTGCTGTTGGAGTGTGAGCAAGGTAGCATTTATGAAGGGATTCAGGGAAACCAGTTGGCCGGACTTGAGTCCAGGAGGTGGGAAGTACAGTACCTGTACTCTGTAAGATGGGTGGGGACGTTGTAGTTTGGAGGAGCATCTGAACTGTAATGTCGGCTCCCTTCTGTAAAGACAGTGATTGAGTGAATGACAGTGAAAGTGTCTTCTTTGTTGGATCACTTTGCCTTGGTGGGAAACAGTTGAGTGAATGACAGTGAAAGTGTCTTCTTTGTTGGATCACTTTGCCTTGGTGGGAAACAGTTGAGTGAATGACAGTGAAAGTGTCTTCTTCTTTGTTGGATCACTTTGCCTTGGAGGGAAGCAGCTGGAGTCTTAAAAAATGAACTATATTAAATTAAGTCCAGAATTTTAATACACTTCTTGTATTAATAATAATATTAATTATAAAAGCTTTTCATATTAATTTATTTTGCCTATGAATTTAATATAATTTACGATTCCAATGCCCATTTAATACTATGCATCATAGAAAATGTGACTAATAGGAATATGTATATACAGTACTGTACATTGTACTATAATGTGACTAATCGGAATATGTATATACAGTACTGTACATTGTACTATAATGTGACTAATAGGAATATGTATATACAGTACTGTACATTGTACTATAATGTGACTAATAGGAATATGTATATACAGTACTGTACATTGTACTATAATGTGACTAATAGGAATATGTATATACAGTACTGTACATTGTACTATAATGTGACTAATAGGAATATGTATATACAGTACTGTACATTGTACTATAATGTGACTAATAGGAATATGTATATACAGTACTGTACATTGTACTATAATGCACATATAATTATTTGTTGTTTTTTCATTTCCAGGTGATGGAGTATCTTATTGGTGGAGACTTAAAGTCCCTCCTGACTATATATGGCTATTTTGATGAGCCGATGGCTACATTTTATGCTGCAGAGTTAGCTTTAGCCCTTCACTACTTGCATAGGTAATGAGATTGTATGATTGTATTTGACAGCATAAAGAAAAGATTCTCATACTTTAATTTGAAGACTCGCATACCTCCCTTCATCCCATATATGTGATTAATTTAATACCTAGTTCTTGTATTTATGTACAGTATCTGGTTTGGTGGGAAAGACTTAAAATTGGTAATTACATTTACCGAGATCTATAATAAATGCTTTGGTGCCAAATCAATTTCAATCATTAGGATTCATTTGTGAAACATGATATAACATCATACAACCATAGTAAAGTATTAGAAATACAATGAAAAATATGCAAAATACGATAAAAACTTGAAACACATGTAAACCTATTCAGAGTAAGTTGGTATAGAGTTATTTCTAAATGTATTAACAAAATATTTACTTCATATTTGTGTTGGCCATAACATGCAAAGCTGCAGTAACCTCTGAAGCACTAAGATAATATAAAATAATGCAAAGGAATGGGGGTAGCCATACCAGTTAAAAAGAGGGAGTGTAGTTGTTGTAGCAGTGCTGCACCACTCAGGTGTGGAGTGGCTGGATGTTCAACCTTACTGTGCTTTGTCATGCTGAAAGTATTACAAGTCTGCTAAAATCCAACCTGCTAACAGTCTCGGAATGCTAGACTGAAAGGATACAGATACACATAGTGTAAGTAAAGATGATGATATTTTAATGTTGATATAAAAAAAACATGGTAATCTTTAGGAACAATTTAAGTGCATTGTACTTCACAATAGGATAAATCACAAGAAATTTTTTACTTCTCCAAAACAATACCCCCTAAACCTAACTAAGCTGAGCAGCCCAATATAAATTTTAATAAATTTTTTTCTGTTTTTCTTTAAGTTGCCCCATTTACCCTGGTTGAGGGAAAAGAAAAAGATTTTCCCAGCTTTCTTTTTTTCCTTATTTTTTGCCTCATTCTGTCAGAAAGAGAAATAGGACCTCCCTTTACAAATTTCCTAAAACTTTTATTTTTCTCTTTTTTCCCCACTTTGGGGCGGTTGATAAAGAGGTCTTAGACCACACAGTAAATTAATTAGTTTTTAATTTTTTCAGCCATGGCATAGTTCAAGAGATGTGAAGCCAGACAACCTCCCCCCTTTAGACAACAAGGGACATCTAAAAAACTCACAGATTTTGGACTAAGCAAAAATTTCTCTTCACAAAGGTGAAGAATGCTATTTAAATTTTTTCCTTTTAGTTTTCCTTCCAAAATTAACATGTTGGGTTTTTAGGGATGGTTTCTGTGTACAGGAAAAAAAAGATACATATTTTCATCACATACCAGTATTTAAAATAATATTTCCCCATCAAGAAACGTTTTGGGTTTAAAAACACCTACCATCCACTTACGACCTGCTCGTCTTTTAAAAACCGTGTTTTTTTTTTTCCAAAATTTTTTGGAAAAAAACACTATTTGTGTTTTTACAAAAGGGTTTTTCCTAAACCTTACCGTATAAAAAACATACTAACAGCATAAAAATAAAATAAAACAAGAAATTTCCAAATAAAACAAAAAAATAAAGTCATTACAAAAATGTGATGTTGATAAATTCCCGTAAAAATTTCGACTTAGGTCCAAATTTCCCACTTTCAAACCCGTTTCTCGGAAAACCAAAAGGGTCGGGAAATTGGATGGGAAAGGGTACTCAGATTTTACAATGTTTAAAAAAAGTTTTCATTGTTTTCTCTTTAAAAGAAGAGTACTCTCATGCTCAAAAATGCTTAAAACACTAAGACATTTCCCTTTTTTTTTAAATAATTAATTTGGCTTGTGGGTTTTGAGAATACACAAACACCCATTTTGTCATGTCTGTTTTTTTCCAGTGAAAAAAAACACTTACTAACTAAACCCTAAAAAAAGTTTTTGGTGGGTTTTTCCCCTTTTTAAAATTTTGGAGTTTTTTAACAAAGGGGGTTCCCCCGGGAGGGGGGTTTAAAAAAAAAAAAGGGGGAAATTTTTTAAATTAAAAGGAGAAGGGTTTACTACCCCCCTTTTTTTTTTCCCCCCCAAACCACCAGGAAGAATCTTTTCCCTCCCGGGAAAAAAGGAAAAAAAAGAAAAGAACTTTTTTGAAAAACCCAGAGGGGGTATTTATTTTTACATTTTGTACTTTACGACAGTTATTTAAAAAACCATCTGAGTTTTCTTTTTTTTCAAAATTTTTGGGTCTTTTATTTTTTTTTTTTCCAGGGGAAGGGGAAAAGAATCTTTCCCGAAGCCATGCGTGTTTTTAAAACATAAAAAGCGGGGAACAATGGGGTGTAACCCCTTTTTCCCGAAAAATTTTCAAAAAAAAAAAAGAAGAAAAAAATTTAAATGGGTCTAAAAGGCTGGGTTTTTGCTAAAAAAAGATGATTGTGATGTTATAAGAAAGAAAGGATTCCTGGCTTTTAAGGAACAAACTGAAGGGGGGGGGAAGTTTCAATGGGAAATAAAAGGGATTTTCGGAGGGGTTTAAAAGAGTTAGAGCAAAGGGAAAGGGTAGCAATAATGTTAAGATAGTATGAGGAAAAAGGAAAATTTTAAAATTCAAGAAATTTTGTGGATAAAATAAAGGTTGGATGGAAAAGTGGGGTTTTAAGAAGCGTGTATGCACCCGGAGAAGAGAGGGAATGAGAGGAGAGAGAGAGACTTTTTGGGGAAAAGTTAAATGAATGTTGGAGTTTGAACAAGTGTGAGAGTAATTGTGGTGGGGATTTAATGCTAAAGTGGAAAAATTTATGGAGGGGTGTAGGTAATTTTGGGGTGCCAGGTGTAAATGTAAAAGGGAGCCCTTTATTGACTTTGTATAGAAATTTGTATAAGGGAATACATATTTTAGAAAAAGGGATAAATAATATACATGTATATGTAGGGCCCAAATGAAAGTAGTTTGTTGGGTTAGTATTGGTGATAAAAGACTGTTGAGTAGACTTCAGGATGTACATGTTTTAAGGGGCCACAGATATATCAGATCACTTTCTAGTTGTAGCTACACTGAGAGTAAAAGGTAGAAAGGGATACAAGGAGAATAAAGCATCAGGGGAAAAGAGAGGTGAAGGTTTATAAACTAAAAAAAGAGGGTAGGGAAAAATGGATTTTTAGTTAAAAATAGGAGAGGAGAGTATTAAATGGAGAGTTAGGTATTGGGAAGTTGGGGAAATATTTTGAGGAATTTTAAATGTTGAGGAAGATGGGGAAGCGTGATTTCGTGTAGGGGCAAGGAGAATAACATCTTTGTAGGAGTGAGGAAGAGCAGTGTAGGTGGGGGGAAGTTCGGGAGGCAGTAGGTAAAATGAAGGGGGTAAGGCGGGTGGACCGGGATTGAGGATAAAGACAAAATGTTAAAAGCAGGTGGGAATAGTTTTGGGAGTGGTTGAGCAATTATTTAAAAAATGTATGGAAGAGGAAAGGTACCTAGGATTGGCCAGAGAGCAGTATTCCTTTGTATAAAGGCAAAGGGGAAAAAGAGAGTGCAAAATTATAGGGGATAAGCTGTTGAGTGTACCGGAAATTTAAGGTAGGGTTATAATTGAAAAAATTTAGGGGTAAGACAGAAGGAATGCAGGATGAACAAGGAGGTTTAAAAAGGGTAGGGGTGTGTGAAAAAGTGTTTACATTGAAACATAAAAGTGAACAGTATTTAGAAAAAGGTAGGGAAGTTTTTATTGCATTTATGGATTTAGAAAAGGCATATGATAGAGTGGATAGAGGAGCAATGTGGCAGATGTTGCAAGTATATGGAATAGGTGGTAAGTTACTAAATGCTGTAAAGAGCTTTTATGAGGATAGTGAGGCTCAGGTTAGGGTGTGTAGAAGAGAGGGAGAATACTTCCCGGTAAAAGTAGGTCTTAACAGGGATGTGTAATGTCACCATGGTTGTTTAATATATTTATAGATGGGGTGTAAAAGAAGTAAATGCTAGGGTGTTCGGGAGAGGGGTGGGATTAAATTATGGGAATCAAATTCAAAATGGGAATTGACACAGTTACTTTTTGCTGATGATACTGTGCTTATGGGAGATTCTAAAGAAAAATTGCAAAGGTTAGTGGATGAGTTTGAGAATGTGTGTAAAGGTAGAAAGTTGAAAGTGAACATAGAAAAGAGTAAGGTGAGAGGGTATCAAATGATTTAGATAAAGAAAAATTGGATATCAAATTGGGGAGGAGGAGTATGGAAGAAGTGAATGTTTTCAGATACTTGGGAGTTGACGTGTCGGCGGATGGATTTATGAAGGATGAGGTTAATCATAGAATTGATGAGGGAAAAAAGGTGAGTGGTGCGTTGAGGTATATGTGGATTCAAAAAACGTTATCTATGGAGGCAAAGAAGGGAATGTATGAAAGTATAGTAGTACCAACACTCTTATATGGATGTGAAGCTTGGGTGGTAAATGCAGCAGCGAGGAGACGGTTGGAGGCAGTGGAGATGTCCTGTCTAAGGGCAATGTGTGGTGTAAATTCGGAGTGTGGAAATTAGGAGAAGGTGTGGAGTTAATAAAAGCATTAGTCAGAGGGCAGAAGAGGGGTTGTTGAGGTGGTTTGGTCATTTAGAGAGAATGGATCAAAGTAGAATGACATGGAAAGCATATAAATCTATAGGGGAAGGAAAGAGGGGTAGGGGTCGTCCTCGAAAGGGTTGGAAAGAGGGGGTAAAGGAGGTTTTGTGGGTGAGGGGCTTGGACTTCCAGCAAGCGTGCATGAGCGTGTTAGATAGGAGTGAATGGAGACGAATGATACTTGGGCCCCTGACGATCTGTTGGAGTGTGAGCAGGGTAATATTTAGTGAAGGATTCAGGGAAACCGTTATTTTCATATAGTCGGACTTGAGTCCTGAAATGGGAAGTACAATGCCTGCACTTTAAAGGAGGGGTTTGGGATATTGGCAGTTTGGAGGGATATGTTGTGTATCTCTATACGTATATGCTTCTAAACTGTTGTATTCTGAGCACCTCTGCAAAAGCAGTGATAATGTGTGAGTGTGGTGAAAGTGTTGAATGATGATGAA